AAGGCTTGACCCCAGCCCTGCCCACTTCCCTCTCTCCCCAAAGCAGTAGAGACTGCAAGGAGGGCATGGAGAGAGTGAAATGTGCCTTGAGGAAAGGTTGTTACTGGGTAGCAATGAACCACGCCCAAGGGAAGTGAGGCAGAATGAAAGAGAAAAGAGGGAAGAGGGAAGAGGAACTGCTTCTACACATAGCTCTGTGAAGTTCAAGGATTCCCCCTCTGCCCCCTTTGTTGACCTTTAATTCCCTTTCATGCAAAAATGCACCAGGCCCCTCACTATTCTCCCACTCCATATTGACCACTTATCAGAGCCACCACACTGGAATTTTACCTGTGTGACTAAGTCAACCTTCCACTCTAAGTTTTTGCTCACCTCCAGGAACACATTCTTGTCCTCTGTAAGGTGCCACTGTTTGCCTGCATTGATTTTAGACTGTGGGACACTATGCTAGCATTTAGAAAAAGTAGGAAGGTGCTGAATGGGTTGAAGAAATAAAAGCTCAAAATTGGTTTGCAAATAATTTTTTTCCTGGAAGTAGAATTCACCTGAGAGTGTTTGTTCCTGTCACAAGACTGTTGGACTGTATGGGCAGAGCAACTGATATCATCTACCTGGACTTATGCAAGGTGTTTGACACTGTCCTGCATGACATCCTTGTCTCTAAATTGGAGAGATATGCATTTGACTGGTGGACATCTCGGTGGATAAGTAACTGGCTGGACGGTTGCACACAGAGAGTTGTGGTCAGTGGCTCATTGTCCACTTCGAGGCCAGTGATGAGTGGTGTCCCTCAGGAGTCAGTGATGGGGCCAATATTGTTCAACATCTTTGTTAGTGACATGGACAGTGGGATTGAGTGCACCCTCATCAAGTTCACTGATGACACCAAGCTGTGTGGGACAGTCAACATGCTGGAGGGAAGGGAAGTGCCATCCAGAGGGACCCTGACAGGCTTGAGAGGTGGGTCATTGCAAACCTCATGGAGTTCAACAAAATGAAGTGCAAGGTCCTACATCTGGGTCATGGCAATCCCAGGCACACCTACAGGTTGGGTGGGGAAGTAATTGAAACCAGCAGTGAGGAGAAAGATTTGGGAGTGACAGTGGATGAGAAGCTCACCATGAGCTGCAGTGTGTGCTCACAGACCAGAAAGCCAATTGTATCCTGGTCTGCATCAAAAGGAGTGGGCCAGCAGGTCAAAAGAGGTGATTCTCCCCCTCTACTCTGCTCTCGTGAGACCCCACCTGGAATACTGCCTGCAGTTCTGGTGTCCTCAACATAATAAGGACATGGAACTGTTGGAGCAAGTCCAGAGGAGGCCACAAAGTTGATAAGAGGAATGGAGCACCTCCCCTATGAAGACAGGCTGAGGAAGTTGTGACTGTTCAGCCTGGAGAAGAGAAGACTGCATGGAGACCTCAGAGCAACTTCTTGATATCTGAAGAAGCCTACAAGGGAGCCAGAGAGGGACTCTTTGCTAGGAACTGCAATGATGGACAAGGGCTAATATGTTCAAATTGAAGGAGGGGAAGTTTAGGTTAGAAATTAGAAAAAAGTTTTTTACTCTGAGCGTGGTGAGACACTGGCACAGGTAGCCCGGGTATGTGGTGGCTGCCCTAACCCTGGCAGTGTTCAAGACCAGGCTGGATGAGCCTTGAGCAACCTGATCTACTGAGGAGGTGTCCCTGCCCATGGCAGGGGGGGGTGGGACTAGATGATCAGTAAGGTCCATTCCAGCCCTTAAATTCTATGATTCTATGGTATTAAAATTTTAATCTTGTGATGTTTAAGACTATAACAGCAAGGAAGGGGAGGCCAGGTACAAATGATATCCTATTGATAGCCACATATAATAAAATGGAGATAAAGTAGAAATTATGCTACTGGGACTAAAAATGTGTAGCATGAAGCTATCTATTATCTCACTTTGATCCTAAGCATTGTTTACCATCCTAGGAATTTCCTGTTCACAGGGTGACTAAGCACTGCCTGGGATTTTCAGACATATTCTATATTGGCTCCAAGATGAGGGAAGACAGTGAGAGCTTTGTGGACTGACTATGGGAGAAATTAAATGAAGGGACTGGTGGGGTTCATTCTCACACTTGGCCAACTCTTACTTGGTAAGAGAAAGCTAAGCTGGCTAGGTAGTTTACACTACTTCTGCATCAGTGATACTTGGATTTATGTTTAAAATGCAATTAGTCAGAATATTGTGGATTCTCCAAACTTAAAGATATGCAATATTTGGCTGGGAAGGGCCCTGAGCAACCTGATGTATCTTTGAAGTTAAGACCAGATGTCTGTCAGCTGCCTGTTCCCACTCAAGTTACTCTCTAACGCTGTGAATTTCAGGAGATCAAGTTTTGCAAATAACTGACTTAGTTCAACTGATAAATATTACTTTCATTTTGTGTATTAGAAGAATTAGTGCTGGAATAAACTGTAATGCCCCAGGGTCAAATTCTGTCATCTCTGTGGAATTAACTTCCCATTATAAGACCACAGGAAAGCAAGCAAGTGTGGTCTTGTATCTGCACAACTCACTAATCCTCCGAATTAACTTTGTCTCTTTGCATGGATGAAATTATAAATATATATGGGGTGTGGTTGTAGAACAGTAAAAACCTCTTTTGACGTCCTAAATCTGTGAGTATGAGCCTTCTGTACTCGTGCTGAAATACTGGGGGTGAATGAGAGGGTAATCCATCTGCACTTCATGGCACCGCAGAAAGCTGAAGTCTCTGGGACATGGTACTAACTACTTTTCTTCTTTGAGGATGGAGAGAAGAAGCTGGTACCCTCACCTGTCAGCACAAACAAGAGGACTTGTTCCATGCTGGGTGATGGAGGTCTGGTACTTGGCACACAACTTGGTGCTACATCCAGGCTTGCTCCTTTAGAGGCCTGTACTTCAGGTGCCTCTTACTACGGAAGCTACAGGGCCATAGCTGTGGAAGGCTGCTGAAATTTTTAGCTGTCAGACAAATACTTTTCTATCTGAGATTTGAGGACTCCAGCATCCATTCCTTAATGGGTGCATGATTTGCCAAGTGCCAAAATGGTTTCAGAGTTCTCAGTGTCTGAAAACATAGGACTGGGAATATATATTTCTGTTTTTATGTTTTTCTTTTGTGTTAGGGATGGACAAACTGCACAGCTGGTTGAGGAAGTGACTGCTGAGGACAAGAATATGACTGCTTGTTGCTGTGCTGGCAGAAGTCAGCAGAGATCAGGAGGCAACACTGAATCTATCTGTCTACATACAGGAGCAGATGTGGATCTTTGTGTCTTCCTTTGTGAAGAAGTACGTTTTAATTGTAAGAACTACAATGGCCTGGAAATAGTGCAGTTCTAGAACAAATCTGCTGAAAATTAAGTGTCCTGGGGAATTTAGGTGCTCTATTTCCATGACCAGATCAACAGAAACTCCACAACACTAGTAAACACATTGTTAGCTCTCTGACAATGAACATCCCTATTTGTTATCTCCTGACCAGCAACTGATTAAGATAAAGGAAAGTGAAGGAAAATATTTGAACTATTTATACACCAGTGAAACTGATGTCATGTTATCTTCCTTCTTACGCAAGATCATGTTTGCTACCAGCAATATTGTATCTTGGCCCAGAGTTAGGACAGATTCTCATTCCTCATCTCTCTGTAAGGAATGAACCAACTCTGATATGTCAAGTTGGAAGGGACTCATAAGTACCGTAAGTCCCTGCTCATTGCAGGACTAGCTATAAATAAGCTGTATGACTAACAGCATTGTCCAGACACTCCTTGAACTCTGACAGGCTTGACACCATGACCCTGATAAGTCTGTTCCAGTGACCTACCACCACTGAGGAAGTTGTAGGCTGTGATGAGGTCAGCCCTCAGTCTTCTCTTGTCCAAGCTGAGTGAACCGAATGGCATCAGCTACTTCCTGTAAGTCTTGCCTTTGAGAACTTTCACAATCTTGTTCACCCTGCTCTGGACATACTCTAGTAGAGTGGTGTCCTTATTACACTGAGGTTCCCAAAACTGCCTGCAGTACTCAAAGTGGTGCTGCATCAGCACAGAGAAGAATGGGACAATCACTTCCCTCAACTGACCAGTGATACTGTGCTTGATGCACACAAGTATACAGTTGGCCTTTTTGGCTGCCAGGGCACACTGCTGACTCATACACAATTTGCCATTAACCCAAACCCCCAGATCTCTTTCTACAGGGCTGCTCTCAAGCCTCTTGTCCCCCAAACTGTATGTATAACCAGGATTACCCAATCCCAGTTGCACTTGAAATACCCCAACTTAAATGCATTTGCTTATACATATTTTTATTCTGATTAAGGGAGCAAAAGAGTACATCCGCAAGACCCATTACATGTGGATACATGAAGAAAATTCAAATAGCAATCAGCTGTATTTGGTCATGATGATTGACCAAAAAAGATTTAAGGAGAAATATGAATTATATGATTCCTGTAATGTGTCTTTAGAAAGTGAGGAAGAGCTTTGCAGTATCAGAAGCAGAAAGAATTGCTTTGTCAGAGTAGGTATGGTTTGTGACAGTTTAGAGTTTAGTCTGGGAACATTAGAGTGACTAATTCCAGAGGAGTCACCACGAAACTTGTCCATAGAGAAACCTGGCTTAAATAGAAGGGCTGCATTTTTTCCCCATAAATGTCTGCTGATAAATGGGATTGTGGTTTTTCTCAGTGTGATGATTCAGCACTATTATTGTTAAGTTGCACCAGGATCATCTCTGCTCATGTTCATGCATTCTTTGAGTCCAGTTTTCATTCCCCTAATACTGTGAAGAAAGGAAAGCCAAAGGGGCCTCTGTTTTCATGGCATAATTTCTCTGACTTCATTTTTCGTTTTTTTAAATAAAGCCTTCTGGTTTTAGAAAATATGGATAAAAGAGAGAGTATGCATTTCTTTTTACCCTTGCTACTGCAGTGCTTTGGGTCTTGCTGTGAGGGACAGAAACTCTTTTGGCTTTCTTCTCTTTAAGGTGAAAAGCATCTGCCGAAGAAGAAGATGCTGCTGGTTGGGTTGTGCTTGATCAAGAAGAGGAAAGGGTGGTCAGCCCTAAACTCTTCAGAGACACTTGTGTCATCCACTCCAGCTCCCACTGAGCCTACCACCTTACTGCCTGCTTCAGAAATTTCCACAATTGCCTCGTGGAAGGCCTCAGACACCTTCAGGCTCTCTGCTGAAGAGATGCCAGATAGATTGGCTGATGAGCTGAACAGGTCAGTGATACCCAAGGCTGTTAAGACAGATGTGAGGTTATATTTTTCCTCAATCTTCATGCGGGGGAGATAAACTTTTATTTTCCTCTCTTCCATCTTAGTAGAGCTGGTCCACTCCTTGAGATTTTCAAAGGTGATTGCAGTCTCAAGCTGAAAGGAGACAAGAAAATTAGATCTCTGGGATGAGAGCACTTCTTTTGTGGCAATGCAGTGGCATTTTTTGGGGGGGTTTCCCTTAAACTGACTGGTCTTGTCATACTATATTTTCTTAGTGTAGACAGATAATGTATCTAGAAGAGGAAAGTAAACCAAGAGTGTCTTCCCTTCTCTGTCCTGCTTTCTATTTCTTTAATAGACTCATTGCCAATTAATTTTGCTAATGAGATGGCTACTCAACAAATTTCACCTAAAGCTCTTGCCTATTTATCTTCTTTTCAAAAATCATCCTGTGCTTTTGAGTTGTAAGATCTACATTTAAGGCATCCAAGTAACCCATTGTTAATGGTAACCAGTTAGTAATACTTGAACTATCAGTTATTAGTGAAGAAATTTAGGTGTGTTCAAATTATTTTCATAATTTAGATTCTTTGAGTTAGTGTCCAATCATTTCAATGAACTCTGATTTATTACGTAACTTTTCCTATTCTGACAAACTACAGTCCTGCTAACAGCAGTATCCCATGCCTGTATTCTGTTCATATCAACAACAGTATGTTGTGCACATTTTACTTTCTAAAATTGCTTTAACCATTCCAGTGCCCCTCAAATTCAGTTTTTGAAGGTATACAGGAAGCATGTTGAACATTGTCAAACCAAGCAATAATTGCAAATAGTTAAACTAAAAAGAACTTCCCAGGAAGCTCCTCAGTGTGCAGTAATGAGGATGTAAAAGCTTTGGAGTTCAAGCTGCTGGAGTAACAGCTGCTTAGCTGAGAAGAATCTATTCAGCAATCCATACTCAGTACAAACTATTGCAGGACCACTGAGACAGCTGCATGCTTCTATGCAACAATCCCTTGTTGCCAGTCTTCAGATCTGTGCTGGTGACTTGCTTTAAGATAACTTTATTGTGAAGAGTTTTGCAGCACCTAAATTTCACTGTGTTTATGGTTTTCTGAAACCAAACTGCCAGGGCCATACCTTCTCCAAGCCAGAGATGTCATCAGGCAACAGCACCCACAGGCTCAGCTGCCCACTGGCATATGGAACCTCCAGGATCTTAATTTTCTCAGAAGTGATCTCTGCCACTTTAAATGAACCAATCTGATACATCATCTGCACAGGTTTGCTTTCTTGCTGCAAAACCAAGTAAGATAATATAGTTTTCACAAAGATTATTCCTAGAGTATAGAAATGTCTACTTATGGTTAAAACTGCTACTTGCACTTGTTCAGAAAGACTGTATAACAGCTTATTCCCTTCATAAACACTAGAAGAGGACACACACCTTTAAGGTGATGTATGCCCACATACCTCAGTAATTTTGAAAGGCACTGTCTGGGTGTCTTCATCCCTAAATGCTTTCTCCCACAATCCTTTGAAGTAAATGGCATTGACAAGGACTATGTCAGTCTGTGGATCCACAGAGCTTGGTTGAAGGATATTTTTGATCATTCCTTTAAGAATGCATAGGAAAAGAAAACATATGTAACACGTGTATAACACATCTTACTTGGCAATCACAACATTAAATGAAGGGTAAAGAATTTGTGGGGAAGAGGGTGTGGGGCAGGGACATTGTTTTGGTTTGTTATCTTGTTTGTTTGTTATCTTGTACTTCCAAGGTTGATTGCTGTTGGCAATAGCTGTGGTTTCATTCTCTATAAAGAATTCTAAACCCCAGAGATTTGCTTGTTAGAAAATGCGTATATTTTGTGACAATGGGAAGAACCATTGGAACCTTTTATCCCAGGATAGTCTCCAAACCAAACATTTAATACTGCTTGCTTCAAACGAAAGTTGAAACAGTGTCAAACCACTTGGAAGTGTGCACAAAGTGCTGTCCCTTTCATTGGGACTGGAAGTATTACTTATCAACAAAGTCCCTACAGATATAAGGAGTTCTCTAAAAGGGGTATGTAAGAGGCAAAAAAAATTCATTAAATAATAGTTCCATATCTGGGAACCAGTCTACTACCCAGGAGAAGAAGCAGAGGGAGAGGTTTGAGGTTTTTTTTTCTACTGACTTAAGTGTTCTCATATGCTGTTCAAATGTGGTGGCAGAAGGGAAAATAAGTATGCTGAGAGTTGATTTCCTCTTACCATTTGTCTGACTTTCAACCCAGGAATTGATGATCTCTCTGGCTTGTTCTGCAGCTGTTTGAAAGCTGATCGATTCCAAGCCTCCCTTATACAGTTCCTTCACACACTGTAAGTATTCCTGCAGAGGAAGAGTATGCCATTTTCACATCAGAAAGTCAAAGCATTTTGCAAATGAAAAATGCAAAAATGAAATTAACAGATAGCTTGTTAAGGCTAAGCAGTAAGCCATGATTCTAGTTCATAAGTATCTTAAGATTTGACAGTCATTGTTTCAAGCAACAGTATCTGTCCATATTTTAAAATATGTTTTACAGTACTGAGTTTGATTCAAAAATGGCATTCATATTAGTTAAATATGTGGGGGCTTTAATTTTGCCCACTTTTTAAATTTTTACTTTGCAATGGTGTTTTCCTTTAATTTCAAATTAAATGGTCCTTTCAATGGAAAACCTTGGAATATTTTTGAGAACCCAAAGTTATTTTTCAGGTTTGTTTTGCAAGTTGAGAAAACAGAGTTACCTCTTACAAACAAAAATTACCTTTATTAATTATACCTTGACTTGATTGGATCATTATTATACTTTGCATAAACATCTTTTTGGCTAGTTACATGCTTTCTCAAGGCTGCTGAGGGTTAGAGCTGTGATAGAGAGAAGTGGTGAATACTTTCTTTCATATGGAAGAAGATTTCTTCAGCAGAACCTAGACTTCTCACAGTGCTTTTTGCATTACAGAAAGCTACAGCTTTGACAGGGAAATATATTCAGGTCAGATCTTAGAGCAACTCACCGGCAGGATTGGGTACTTCTCTTCTGCATAAAGTCTGCTGGCAATGCCAATCGAATAATTGTCACTTGCTTTGGTGATTTTAGTGAACATGTCTTTAATCGAAGTGTGGATGCTTAGAGATGTGCCGCACTGAATCGTTGACATGAATACAAATAAAGAGTTAGATGATATTACTTAAGTTTTAATAATTAGTAGGTTTTGCATACTGTATGAAGGGAGTAGAGTAGTTCAGATGCGTCTACTTATAACACTCTTCATCCTGTGTGTCTGGTTGCTGTAACTGTGCTGATGTAGTAATTTTATAATATATGTAATTCCGTGTTGGTTTTCTTCTGTAATTTCCTCATACCTCTCTTAATTACCTGCTATGATAATCTAGCTCCAGGAGATCAGGTAGGCTTTTCTCCATTACCATCTAGTCCTTTTTAACCAGTAACATCCAGCTACCTTGTCTAAGCATACAAATATCTATAATTTTCCCCTGTTTGCTCAATATTATGGTGATGGGTTTCATCTCATGCTTGTTCTGAATACTCTGTTACCTCCCTTTTCTCTCTGTTCTTATGAATGAAGTGTTCCCCCAGCTGCTAGATGCAGACCACTAGCTGCTCGTTGGAGATGGGTTGGAACTGCTAAGAGGCTGCTTTATCTGCTAGTTTTTGCTCCCAGGAGAAAGTGACATAGAGAAGGATATGATAGTATTTCTGTACCTGAGATTCAATACTCTCCCCGAATCCTGGGATTTTGTCAAAGTGAACCGCCTGTAATTGAAAATAGCAGCAGTTGAAATAACAGGTATCACAAAAAAAAAATAAAAAGAAATGTTATGCAACTGAGAGTTGCACATAATGTTTGAAGCAAACATATTGGCTAACTGAGAAGCTGGATGACTCAAAAGGTGCAGTCCATCTTTCCCACCTGTGAATAGCCATGCCTACTGTTGCCTGCTTAGCTGATCTCTTTTTCTATTGAACATCTAGAAATCAGCTCCAGTGTGCTATTAGTACTAATTTTCTCCTACATAACAAGCCAGCCACTCTCTATGAAGAAAGTGGGAGCTGTGGGAAACTCACATGAAACAATTTGAAGTCTGGAGACATGTTTTGGCTCTTTTCCTGGAGGCTTTGTCTCCTCTCCTTACACCAAACAAAGGACCACTAGAGTGAGTTGTTTACTTTAAGAAACCTACTGCTAATAATGCTAAAATTTTAATCCAGTTTCAGGGTTTGTGGCTGATGCATTCATTTAACACTATAGGAATTTGAGATGGCTGCAGCTTTTGATAACTCTGGATCCATATTTTTTAGCATCTGAGCTAAGGCACGTTATCAATTAATTAAGTGCTGTAGCTCTGTTGAACAGCAGGAGGGTTTAAATCCTTAACTGTAGGCTCACCTTTTCTATCTGAGCCTTGGTGCTATCTCTTGCACCTAGGTAGATCATGGACAGAGCTGAAATGATGGTCACAGGGGAGTAGAAGATGTTCTCCTGGACATGATGGATTCGCAGCTCCTTGAATACATCACAAGAAAATTCTGTGCTTACTGCACCAATGGAGCCCATCGTGGAACCAGTATTGCCTAGAACAAACAGCAGAAGTACAGGAACAAAGTAATAATGGAATACCATACAAACACAGCACATGCATTTTAATAGTAGTTTGCAGGTAATGAAATATATACAAGTAGTTTTGAATTGATTCTGTGGCAACATGCCCTTTGCTATGCTCACCTCTCATGCATGTTAGAAACTCCATATTCAAAAATCTATTTTTTCTGTATCTGTACACTGTTGTCTTTTTGTAACAGGTCCTCAGAGGTCTTAAATCTGTAGGTGATTTCTGTTTACCTTTTCAAACCAGTCAGACAACAATTGCCTGAACTTATTTTCATTCAGTTCCTTAGTACTTTGTAGCAGCTTTGATGAAAACAAGCAAATATAATCTCCTTGATACACTTACAAAGCTGGAAATTTAAGTGCAAATTCTGCTAGACTTGCTCTAAGTTTGGACAGATATAAGTAAAAGCAGAGGCTGGCTATTTTTATTTTCTAAAAATAAACAAGTGCAGTAAAATATCTGCTTGTTGCACTGTACTTCCTGTCAGTAGATATTCAAAGGCCTGTAGCTTTACCCTCGTTTTAGGAATGGAAGCATGATAGGCAATATAATTCATCTAAGGTCGCCTAGTCTAGGAGTGAGACTGATGCACAAAATTCATGTTTCATCCTATTGTGCTTTCAACTATAACTTACTCTGCTTAAAAATATTATAGTATAACCTTTCAGAGAAATTAAAATTTGTTAGTGACATTCAGAGAGAAGAGAAATGCAGACATGATAAAATAGCAATGTCTACCATCATTCAGTTCTGTTAAATGAATATTTGTGACATAGACCAGTAAAAGCTTTATATTTGTTTCTGTCTGAGGCTGGATGGTATAAGTACTGTTTGGACACTGTACTTACATAAAGCACA